TTGCACAGCGACCCCGAATCCCTCTCGTGTCCCCACAGGACGAGCTCTTCGCGCCCGACCCGCTCGCCGCGCACCTGACTGTGGACGCAGCCATGGCTGGCGTCGGCGGAGACATCGGGTGGGGGCCGTGCGTGCGCGAGGCCCGCTCGCCCGCCCCTCCCGCCCCGGGTGTCCCCGACGCGCCCCCGCGACACGTCCACGACACGTCCACCACACGCCCACCACCTCAGGCCTTCACCGTACCGCCCGGCGTCTACCGGTGGGCGACCTTGATCGAGCCGCCCGGCTGCCGGGCGGAGCTCTCGGCGCCGATGCTCCGCCGCCTTGCAGCCTGCGGGCCGCGCTACGAGCCGCCCCGTCGCGCCTCCGCGCGGCGGATCGCGCTGCCCGCCGCCGTGCTCGTGCTCGCGCTGCTGCTGCCGCTGCTGCTGCCGCTGACGCCGTGGCATACGGCGCTGCAGCCAGTGGAAGAGCTCGCGGCCGGACGCGACGTGTAAACTTGTTTTCGCCAAGATCGGCGCAGATTGAGAGCGCACCAGTCATTTACTATGTAATTGTTCTGAACACGACAACTCTCCCAATGCCTTTTTTTGCTGGTTAGCGCGCGCCGCGCGCGCGGGACACAATTATTATGCCCTCGTGTTGACCGATGAGCAAACGAGGGCCGGCAGCGGCGCGGCCCGGGAGAAATCCCGCGATTCACTGACGACACGCTCAACCGTCGCACCACGGCCGTGCTGAACCATCCGTCGAGGTTAAACAAGAGTCGGCTCACGCTGTGTGTGACTGCGCGCGCGTGTGCGGCCGCAATCGGTAGAGCGCATGCGCGCCCACCCGCCGTCTCGGTCGAGCAGAGGCCAGAGTGGTACGCCCCGCGGGAGCAGCCTGGCGTGCCGCACGGGAGCGGCGCCTGCGCGGAAGCCGCGCCTTTCGCTGCCAGCGTGCGCTGCCGTTTGGCGTTCACGCGCTTCTGGTGCCACTCTGCGCTGTCGCCATGCGCGTTGCAATGCGCTGGGTCGCCGCCCTGCCAGTGGGGCGCCTCGGCTGCACCTCGTCCTCGCCGCTCAACACTTTCGCCACCCCCTCCACCTCCGCCTCCCTCCACGTCATTCTCTGGCTGAAGCGATGCGGGTGGACCTCCAGAAGAGGGGGGGTGATGAGAGCAAACTCACGGAGGAATGTGCCCGGCACCTCAGCCACGGGACTGGCGCGCACTGGTACTAACACAGTGTAAAGAAAAAGAACTATACTTTGCCCGTCAGGTAGACCTGGCACGCACTTCCCACCCAACTATTGACTCCTATTCAGTGACCAGATTCAAAAACACTTGGTTGCGGTATTGCTGCGCCGGCGTAAACACTTGGCTGCACGCACGTAGAGTGGCCGAGAGCCTTCTTTCTGACTGCAGGTGTGATGCGCTGGCTATCACAGCGCCGCCGCAAACACTGTGGTGCGCGTGTGGGCGAGGGCACTTCGTGGCTGCAAGAGGTCCTCACGGCAAGAGGTCCTCACAATGCGCACTCGGAGCAGGGGAGAGCAAAGGTCCGTGCGAGAGAACTGATGCAGCTGCGTGTGACTACTCGGCTGCAGCCGATCATGAAGGCGCAGGGAATCCTTCGGGGGTCGCTCTATACGCAAAAGAAACCGTGGCTAGCCACGCCTCCTACGGGATGGGCCCGAGAGGCTAGTTCCATTTCACTGTGGCACAGCTCGCGTTACAAAACCTTGATTTGACCATTTGCGCGAAAAAGGTACATCGCGGTGCCTTCCAGAGGCAGCTGCGACCCCGCCGAGTAGACGGTTGCGCACAGCATTTGGCGCGGGGTGCAACCGTCCACTCGGCGGGGTCGCAGCTGCCTCTAGCACAAACTTGCGATGTACCTTTTGCCGCCACCGGATACGACTTTACGCCGCTGACTAGCGTGATGAAATTTCTGATACGTCTCA